AGACAGATCTCTGGCAAAGACTTTGGAGCCCTGGTTCCGCTCGATCGCTTCTTTAATACGAGCAGTATTAAAGTTGCGTAAGTCTCGCCGCATGCATTTGGAGATCTGTCTGTTCAGTTGCCTGTATGCTGTCAAATCTGTTGACGATTGCAGCCTCATCTCCCGTCTAACAGCCATGAGATTAAGAGTGTGATCGGAGAGTTTTTGTGTTCTTCTGCGGCGGGTCTTGCAGAACTTAGCTCCGCAAACAGCATGGACAGTTTCCACGAGTTTGTCATTCATATCGTCCACTGCATTGCAATCTTGTAGGCACTGAAAGCGGTTGTGTAACTCGAGCTGAAAGTTTTCGGGATTTTGGATTAGAGCACGAGGGGGACGGAGCGTTGACTTCATTAGACGAGACCTCTTCAACTTAACGTTTAGGTTCGGTGTGCCTCTAACCATTCGGTGATCGCTGCCAGTTTTCACCCTTGCGATCACTGAGACATCACTGAACAGTTGGCGTCTGGTCGTCATAATGAAGTCAATCTCATTTTTTGTCGAACCGTCGGGGCTCGACCAGGTCCACTTCCTGTGAGGCCACTTCTGGAGGAAAGAGTTCATCATAAAGAGTCCCTCTTTCTCCATAAAGTCGGCCAGCTGCTGGCCCCTTCGGTTCCGTTGCCCTACTCCAAATTTCCCTAACTTCAGCTCACCGTTTTCTCTTGTGCCTAGTTTTGCGTTGAAGTCTCCCATCAACACCGTGTAGTGGGTTTTGGAGGAATGCACGGCTTTGGAAATATCCTCATACATTTCCTCCACCTCCTCATCGGAATGTGCCGAGGTTGGTGCGTAAACCTGTATGACCTTCAGCGAATACCGTTTGGTGATTCTGAGTATCAGGTACGCGACCCTCCTCGACACACTCCCAATCTTTACAACGTTGTTGACGAGAGACTTGTGGACGATAAATCCGATGGAAGGGTGGGTTCCTCCAGCGCAACTTGTCTATCTCTTCTTCCAGCTCCAGGATCTTCTCGTCAGTCCTGTGCGTGCGTTAAATGTTGCCAGGTCGAGTCGTCGTAGGTGGCAACCGAACCTCCACCGGAGATTCTTAGCACCCCCTGCCCCGCCGTTACCATGGTCGCCACCGTAGCCAGGAATAGCGGGGCCGCCGGGGACTGGGGGCCGTCTATTTGTGTAATTGTTCATGGGGGGTATATTGTCATAGTTGCCACGCTTGGCGAGCGGGTTGACAACCGCAGTTTTTTTTGTCGTACTGTTGCTGTTATCAGGAAGATGCTGCTGCCCATCTCCTCCCTGTCTCCCTCTGTCGCCTTTTACGACACCCACGGGAAGATATTGGGTAGTGGATATTCTTAACCGCCACTACACAGTAGCTATAATCAGCTGGTTCCATTTCAATCATCTCCGCTGGTTTTATCTTTCAGTCATTTCATGATTTTTTATGAAATTATCGTTTCATATAACTGTAACAACATGATGGAGCCTGAGTAAGGTAATAAAACGTGGAGAAAAAATGTTTTCTTTTCATCGGAATCAATCTTCTTTTTGTCCCATCTCAAAGGTATCGTTAGTACTATAGTCTGTCTTCGTTTTCGAGAACGTTTCACAAATACCCGTATAAGGCCGGTATAGACCGCGACCCGGGGCAGTATTGAATTGCCAAAACAAGCAAATACCTTAAAGCGATACAACTGCGAACCTAAGTGTTAAGTAGTACAATTGTGTTTTGTTAATAATGTGGTTTTAAATTAAAATTAGTGTACTCTAATTATATTGTCAATTTTGGTAATTCAGTCAGCGGTTTTTATTGTCTCGAACCCCAAGCTCATAACAGTTAAGACGACACGAAGGGTACCCGTACACGAAATCAACGTCAGCAGGAGACGGACCAGAGACGTCGCAGACGTCGGAGGTCTAGCTGCTGGCCACAGAGGCCGACCCGTTAGCAGCTTCTGCATGTGCAGCACCCGACTTATTTGTCCTCATGATGATGCTACAGGTGCAGGCCTGCCGACAGGAGGAAGAGGCCCCTTAGTTGGAAGAGCAGCTGCAGCGCAGACAGGAGTACCAGGCCCATCGTTTGGAAGAGCAGCTCAAACGAAATAAAGAATAACAGATGCTCCTCATGATAAACCTTCACGCTCTTTAGAAAAGAGATAACAGAGGTGAAGGATAGGGTTGCTAAACATGACATCCGCCTGTTGGAAGCTGAAACCCAAATTAACCAAGTGAACAAACGTTATGGCTGACGTGAAGAAAACGCTAGTCGACCTCAAATTTGGGAATGGAATTACAGCCCCCATAGTAGCTACAAAACCATTACTACGTTGATTTAAAGTGCCGCCATTCGACGGAACTTCCTGGTCGGCGTGAAAATTCCAGTTTGAGGCTGTCATTAAGGCAAACGGCTGTAACAAAAGTCAGGCCATGAATGCTATCACCCAAGACATGTGGGACCAGGCTTTAACTGTTCTAGAAGCTCTCAGTAGGGAAATGACTTACAAGCATTTTCTTGAGGCAATGGAGGCAAAATATGACAACGCTCACCTGAAACACGTTTTTGTGTGCAGGTCAAGGGTTGCGTGTAAAGCAGCAACGAACACCTGCAGCAGTGGTCCCTTGAGGTGAAGAAGCTGTTTCGAAATACATACCAGTCTGTACCTGCGCTCATTGAAGGGAATCTGGTGCAGAAATTAATCGACAGCATCCGCGGCCATGAAGTCGGAGCTTCTTTGAGGCTCGTGAACAACGAGACGCTTTTGGACGCCTTGCCTCATGCACTGGAGGTGGATCATCATCATGCAGCTAGATAATCGTGCTTATCGCGTCAGAGAGGTTGCAGCAGCTACAGTTTGCGACCGCAATAAAGGATACAGCCCTAAGCTGTGGGAAAACAGGCCATATTCGAACCAGCCGCCCCTAACTAACTATAGAAAGGGACGATGATCGATTTCGTGAAGGTAAGGAAGTGGTATCTGTGATGACGCTCAGGACAGACCAGCTCAACAATGAGTGAAAGTACAGCCTACAATATGCGCAGCATGAAGATTCGGACATAAAGCTGATTCTGAATTAATTGAAGGCCAGTGCTCCCAAGCCCGAGTGGAGCGATGTCTCAGCGATAAGTTCGACCACGAAAGGCTATTGGACCCAATGATTCAGCTTGCTTCAGGATGAAATCATGTGCCGTACATGGCAAAATGTTCAGGGAGACAGCTGTCATTAGCAAATAGTTGTTCCTAAAGCTAAAGTAACAGATGTACTACAGCTGTATCATAATGGTTGTTCAGGAGGCAATCTGGGAGTTCAACGAACTCTACTGAAGATCTGAGAATGATTTTACTGGGTTCACTGTTGTGACTATACCGAGGACTGGTGTCGCAAAAGTACAAGTAGTGCGGCTGTAAAGAGACATTAGACTCATAGTAGAGGTGCATCAAAATTGTGCAATGTTGGTGCACCATAGGGGAGGATAGCCATTGATGTTGCGAAACCGTTTCCGGAAAGTAAAAGTGGTAACATATATTTCATGGCTGTGATGGATTCCTTCACTAAGTAGCCAGAAGTCGTCGCTATTCCAATGAGGAAGCTCCAAAAATTGCATATAAACTAATTCATAAAATGTTCCTTTTTTTTCGAGTACCTTTAGAGATTCACAGCGATCAAGAAAGGAATTTTGAGTATCATATATTCCAGGAAACTTGCTGAGTCCTGGGTACACATAAAACAAGAATAACTTCTTACCACTCACATTTTAATGGAATGGTAGAGCAATTTACGTACCTCTCCAATGTCTGATACATTGTACGTACTTCGGTAGAATTACGGCTGCCTGCAGACCTAATCACCGGAATACGACGTGATACCCCACGCTGTATAACCGATTATGCAAATGACTTGCGAAACAAAATGAATGAAATTCATGAGCACGTCAGACAATCGGGCCAGGAAATGTCTGAAATGATGAAAACCCTACCGGGTTTTCATATCGGGACCGCAAAATGTACGAATAAGTGTTCGACGAAGGTGGTTGGTCACGCGTGTGGTAGCAAAATGCAGTTCATAGCAAAGGGAAATCTTCTAAGCTCCAAGCTAAATGGGACGGACCGTACTGGATTTTGACAAGGCTTAATGACGTAACCTACCGGATGCAGAAAGGTGCAAGAGGTACTCTTAACGTCGTCGATGTGTATCGATTGACGCGTTATTATGAAGCCGATAATGCACGGGACGAGCATGTAATAGGAGGGATAATGTTGCGCGGTACTATTAATGTCTGGTACATGGTAACACTAGCGCGTTCTAGTTTCGAGTGGCAGAAATAGGAGATTCAAGATCCTTCTGGAAAATTCCATGCTAGAACTATCTACAACTATCGACACCTAGTCAGTCGTGACCGGTTATACTCAAACATTCTTGATGTTTCTACATAGAAGGATCTGGAACTATCTGAGTCCCTTTATAAGGCTGGTATAGACCGCGACCCAGTGCAGTATTGAATTGGCGAATCAAGCGAATACTTCGAAGCGATACAACTGCGAACTAATGTGAACAATAATACAATTGTTTTTTTTTTGTAATTAGTGTGGTTTTTATTTGTAATTAGTGTTCTGTAATTAAAGTGCTAAATTTGATAATTCACTTGGCAGTTTTTGTTGTCTCGAACCCCAAGTTATCATATATCATCGTAACAATATTGTGGAGTCTCCCAAGTGGAATTGACCAGATTGCCTGCTCCATTGCTCTTTCAGATTCAAGTGGAGGGGTGTCCATGGACTGTCTCACTGTCAGAGACAGGTATCCCTGACAGTGAAAGGTATAAAGGCTGTAACGTCATTTTTGCTTCTTAGTTATAGTTGAATATCAACTAAGAAAATAACAGTAAAACTTTAAAAAAGTTTTTTCTAATATAGGTAATCAGAAAAATTGAAATTAAAAAATGTAACATTAATATTAAAAGATGTTATTTTACAACATTTAATATATCTACTCAGGTACTGCAGGCACATAAGGCTGTGCATTTAAATAATAAGAAGAACGGATTAGAAGCATCAAGTGGTATGTATCCTAATTAAATAATGATTTAAAATGATTGTGGCTCGTAACACTGGAAATAAAACCGCATTTATTTATTAAAGGTCCCCAAAGATGAACAAATTTGCAGGATAATTAATAGAATCAGGCGTCACTTTGCGGAAGTAATTTTTAACAAATTTAATTAAATGTGCAAGATTTTATGACTGAATGTTAACGCTAATTCATAGTTACTCGAACATAACTTAAGCTAATAATCGTCATTAACTTGATATATTCATTGATTTTTACATTTAAAATTTCCTTTTCTGCCAACTGCCTTATGTAAATAACCGCTCTATCTAACCACGATGTGTCTATATTACTTTTGCTCTGTACGGTTTTTACTACGTGACTCTCTTATTGAAGATTATAGTATTTAGAGTTAAAGGCTTGGCAATCCTTCTAAATATTACCTAGCTTATATAAATATTTATACGTGGTAGAGCCATGCTGCAGTTAAATTAGTAGTATAGTTGTAGCACGAATGGGTCGGCTTGACCGGAGAAGGACCACGCTGTCACAGAATACCAGCGTCAAATAGTTACTTAATGCTGCTGTGTTTCATAGGATGAGTGTAGACAACCAGAGACCTTTTTTGCTGGAAACGAGGCACGCCATCTAAGTCCTCACGGGTAACAACGCAGCTGCATTTTGATTCGTAATCGATGATAGATGTAGATGTCTATGAGCCACAGCAACCACTTACCATCAGGTGGACTGTGTGCTCGTTTGTCACCTTATCCTATAAAAAAATCTGTCTACTATGTTCTCAAAGTTGTTCCTACTTAAAAACAATATCATTGAAAGGAGGATATACTAATGAACCAACTTCCAACGATAGTTATTTGGTATGAAAGGACCATTAAACTGGGGACATTGACACAAGATGCCTCGTGTAGAGGCGAAACACGTGTCGTATTATCGTCGATGGTGTGTCTTACATGGAATAGTGGTGTTGGAAATAGTGGTGTTGGGAGTAGTGGTGCTGGGACTAGTGGTGACGGAGTTAGTGCATGCAATTGAGGGAGGGCGGGAGGTGCTCTTCAATCCAGGTAAGACACTTTGTATTTATTTAGCGGAAGGTTGCAAAGAAATTTATATCTTTATTTTTTACGAAATATATTAAATAAAAGACCATATATCTATTTACTAATAGGCAATGTTATTTGAGATCACTGTACTGTATTTTATATGTAAAATCGCATTTTAAAAAAGTGTAATTTGTTTCTACCATCCCCACGCCAGGGTCGGTTGAAACAGTGCCTGGGTTCAATTGAAACACATGTAAAAATATAAAACATAATAAATGAACATGTTTTATTAACCGTCTTATAACATTTTACGACTCATATTGGCACAGTTGAACATCACAAGTTTTTTTATTATTAATATTCAATTCAAGCATTATATATATTTTGGGATTCAAATTTATAATAGTTCATGATAGTAGCCAAATGTCGTAGAAAGCATCTACGTTATTTCTTTTTAAGCTAGTCGCCCTAGAATAACATGTAGCCTGTGCTGCACGCACGGACGGCTCCGGATTTCTTCTCATAAACATGCGAAACCAGGCCGTGATAAGTTGTACTTGACAGTTAGTTCGTATGCGTATTTCATAACATCATTTTTAGTTAGGCCAAAATGTATGTCTGCATATCTATTAAATATTTAGATAGCTCACGCTCTTGTTCATGCTTAAACATTCGATTGTGAATCTTAAAATCCATTTCTTGATTTTCATCGTCACCAGTCGCATCTTTTTTTTCTGGTTTTTCTCGTTTCTGACTTTTCGTTGTCTTCCTTTAACGTACCCTTCGCACCTAAGAAACAAGAAATTGAAATAAATAAACTGTTTCAAATGTACCCACAAAAATGTTTTAACTGTCCCCAACCCCCTTCTTGGTAGAAGACCGTTCACAGTAAGAATTATAACAAATTTTAATAAAATCTAATTATACAGCCATATTCTACAAACTTCATTTAAAACCGTACAAAACACTCAATATTCTAACTTTAATAGAACCATAATAATTGCAAAAATGTCCAAACAAAAATACTTACTTTTTCGTCACAATGAGGCCTTCTATACAAAAACACAGCGCGCGAAGAGCGACGCAACTCTTAAATTCGTGTTTCGACTTGTCACCCGCTCCGTTCTCTCCTTAAACCCCTGAACCTCATCACGCACGTGGTCGAGATATACGCTTTGTTTCAATCGTCCCCCGTTTCAACCGTACCCAATCTACCCTACTACAAACTAACTAAAAAAACTACAATACAAACTTCATTATACTTTTACTTATTAAATACTCTCCCAAAAAATTAAATATATTAAAAGAAACTAAAATAAACTATCAAATATTTTTTTTAATTTTTAGGTACTAAATTTAAGGCATTCTTAGATCTTCTTTTAGAATTATCGATTGAAACGGGAGCTTTTAATGACTCGGAAATAAAAGACGAAATAAATACAATGATTGCCGCCGGACATGATACTACTGCGGACGTTCTTATGTTTACATTAGTATTAATAGGATCCTATCCAAAGGTACAGGAGCGGATAGTTGAAGAGTAAGTACTTTTTACATCTGTTATAATATCGTTCGTAAGATCTATAAATGGAAAATAATAATTTGAATTTTGAATGGTTTGGCAGGAATTTGAAATTTGGAGAAAGTTTTTTTGACAAACAAAAGTTTTTTTTACTATCTCATTGGTCTAGTGGTTGTAGTAGTGCGACAGCTGATCATGAAGTCCTGGGTTCGAATCCCGGGTAGGGCCAAAAAATAATCAATTATTGAGTTTTTCTGTCAAGAAATTCTCAGTAGCCGCCCGGAGTCAGGAAGTTGGCAGTGTCTCACCCCCGTGCCTCGGAAAGCACGTAAAGCCGTTGGTCCGGAGCCTGATATCTCTCCGGTCGTGTTGGTTTACCGTACCATCGGATTATGAGAGTGAGGGAATAGAGGTGCACTCTCTATACACTTGGGCACTATAATCCTGTCCTGCGCCGATGGCTAGTCTCCGTTGAGGCAGACTGCCGTAACCGAAATTCGGTCTGGAGGAAATTAAAAATATTACCGGTGTTTAAACAGCTAGACCAGTTTACTTCAGCTATTTCTATAACTCAACGACGTATGGTATTTTTTATGGGGACAAGTGATTGACACTGAAATTATATTCGTTTTACAGAAGAAGGTCGTAAGAGCAATTTTCGTTTCATTTTCATGATCAAAATCCAAAGAGTCGCTCTTACACTTTTTTTTACTTCATTAAGTTTCGGATCTCAATACATTAATGGATATCCAATGTATGTACACAAAAAATCAGCTTTGAAAAAATAAGTAATATTTGTTCTGTAAATACTAGGAACTGATACAACCTAGTAGTACCAGTTACTCGACTCCACTGATTTAGTAGATGTTATTAACCATGTATAAGCTTTTAAAACAAAATCCCAGAAAAAATACAAAATTTTGACCTCGTCACAGTTCAAAAATTTCAATAATAAATTTTGTATAAAAAGGGTTATACAGAATTAAGGAATTTATGAACGATAATAAACGCGATGAGCTTTAAGCGTTTCTAAGTTTATTAACTTAACACATATGATTTTAAGCTGTTTTTTATTTTTCAAAAAAAAAATGTCCCGCTAGGTTTCTTTCTAGTTCTTCCAGGAAAAAGGTTTTTCCGGACCAGTGGTAAATTAAACAAAATAACGACTTTCAATAAGTATTATTAATAATCTATATTGAATAGAAAGTTAGACTCATAACATAACAATGTCGCACCAGCTTTGTATACCGCACCGCCGCCTTCGATTATTTATTTGTTGTTTTTGATCATGGCGTTGCGCCCGCGCAACATGCTTACTACCCTAGCCGGGCTGAGGCCAAGCTATGATTTACGAACCCAACTGCATGTACACAATAATTTTACTATAGGGAACAAATCAACATCAGGTAAGGTACTTACACAAAAGACGATATTCATTTCCAGATGGTAAAGTACACTCAGTATAACAAAATATTAATTTATTTGAACATTCAAAAGAACCATTTAAATTTTTTAGGTATTATAAATGGTATTAACCTAAAATTGAATTGATATATGTTTTGTGTTTATATATATATTTATGAGTATATAATATAGTACCTGGATAACCGAGCATTGCTCGGTTTTTTTTGAAATTACATTCAGATACAAATTACATACAGATGAGACATGTATAATATTTTTTGAGCTTATTGACATAATAGAAAAAACTGAAATGGTTATTTGAATAAAAATCGTGAGTGCAATTAGTTTAATTAATTTTCGTATTTTTAAAAATACTAAAAAGAAGGGCTCGAAATAATAGATTTTTTCACAAAAAAGGGAACTTGAAAAAAAAAGGACAATAGTCGGACCGAAAACAGGACGCGAACCAAGGCATAATAATCCCACGACCGCTCAATATCCTCTTTATAATTATATAAATATAATATTTTTATTTACCTTCTTATATTGTAGCAGTTTTTCATTGCATGAAAACACTGACAAAAAGACATTTTTATTTGTTGCCCCCGAAAATCGCTGGACACTTAATTTTATGAAAATCGTTGGAGCCGTTTCCGTGATTCCGATTATATATATATATATATATATATATTTTTTAGAATTGCTTGTTTAAAGGTATAGGATACAAAAACACTCACGCCTGTCACCGAGGTCACCCGGGGGGTAGGCTGAGGGGTATGCAAGGATTACAGACTTCCATTTGGCACGACTCTGGCACACCTCTCCCGCCTCTTCCACATCCATATACCTACGCATACTTGCTCGTCGGTTAAGGGTACTCTTAAATTGGCACCTTTTCAATAGAATGCCAATTTAGTCGACAAACTTTCGCCTAGGGCGTCCCTTACCAACTCTGCCGTTCACTTCTCCATCATAAATTTGCTTTGTCACTCTTTCCTCACTTGTTCTTTCTACATAACTAAACCACCACAGCATTCCTTTCCCAATCCTCGTCACAACATCATCTTGCATACCACACTCTTCTTTTATTACACAATTTCTCACCCTTTCACTTAAATTTAGGCCGAACATACTCTTTAACGACCGCATTTCTACTGCGTTTATTCTATTCTCGTGCTTCTTCTGCCATACCTAACTTTCACAACTATACGTTAAAGTATGAACTAACACAGCATTGTGAATTACCATACGTGCTTTTTTGACACATTCTGACTTTCCACAATAGAGTATAGAGCCCCAATCACTCTATTACCTGCATTCACTCGTCGTTATATATCATTAACATATCTCCCATCCCTGCTAAATACGCATCCTAAATATACAAACTCGTCGACTTGCTCAACCAACTCGCCTTTTGTTCTTATTTCACATATCGTTTTACTTTCTTCTCTTCAAAAACCATAACTTTCGTCTTATTTTCATTCACTTTCATTCCGCTTTCTTTCAACGACCTGTCCATTAATGAAACTATCATTTGCAACTCGGCCGTCAACGATGCAAATATACCTGTTACCTCTGTATTGTACATATAACCGTTGCCTCACCCATTCTTAACCCGCATTCTTCAACTTTCAAATTTTCCAAACAACTGTCCATAAATAGGTTGAACAGCCAAGGGGAAGCCACACAGCTCTATCTGACACCTTTATGAATGCCAAACCAGTGCGAGTAGACTCCGTTAGTCCTAACACAAACACTGGAGTACCTATAAAGAGACTCATTCACTCACTCAATGCCTGTATCAAACCAGGTTTTTACAGTCCTGCCGCGACCCTTTTCCTTTATACATTGGGACTATCACGGCTTTGCATCAGTCTTCCGGTACCCGCTTTAGTTCCCAGCAAAAAATAAATAGGATGTATAGAAGGCCTGTCATTACTTCCTCTTCAGCTTTTAGCATTTCAAGTGAGCTTTTATTTTTTTATCAATACTTATCTCTTTATATTCTCTTTACTCTTCTTTCGGAGTTTACATTTCATTTAAATCACACGTCTTCACACTCTTTCAAAATATTTTGAACTTCATTATTCAGAATGCAGCCATTCTCGTCTCGTATAGCATTCATTCTAGGCTGTTTTGAATTTCCCCTGGCGGTTTTTTTAAGTTTTCAGAACATTTTAATATTTGCCTGGAATTTATCCGATATTCTCCTATCATTCCTATTAGATCTTTCTTGCTTTTTCCTTTAAACTTTTTCTTTTACTCTCTTATTTAGACATCTAAAGACTGCCATTTTTCTTTCAATATCATCATTCGTACCGCCAGAATTACCTGCATTTTTGCTATTTCATATATTCATCTTCTTTGCTTCAACTTCCATACGTACCTCATAACTCCAGAATAACGTATTGTTATCTTTTCATTCTTGCTCTTACTAACACCACATACTTGGGTAGCAGCATCCACCAAACCTTTCTTAACATTATGCCACACATTCTCCAAGTCTAACTCATTCATAGACAAATCATCCACATTTTTTCAGTCCACAATTTTACTTGTTTTTACACCTTCATCTTGTAACCTCTCTATACGCTGTAATGCATTAGTAGGCATTGATATCCAATGCCGCCAACGTCTGAAAAGACCAGTAATTCGGCATAAAACCAAGTAATTATCCGTCCCTACGTTGGACCCCCGGTAAAAACTTGTATCTACCAATGCGCTCCTCATTCTTTCATCCACAATTATGAAATCTATCATGCTTTTATCATCACCTCTTTCACGTTTATACATGTGAATCTTCTTATGACGAAAGAGAGTGTTCGTCACAAAAATATTCTTTTCCACGCATACGGTGTGAAGACTTTCACCATACTCATTTATACTTTCATCACCAAACTTTCCCAATATCCTTTCATAACCAAGCCTGTTCACCCCAACCCTTTTATTAAAATCTCCTAACATAATAACATTTTAATTTACCTTGCATTTTATTGACACCTTCCTTACCACCTTCCAAAACTTCTCTCGGATATAAGTGAGGTGTATACATGTTTTGGGCGTAGACCAATAGAACAAACATTTTCATTAAACCCACTTTCACTCGGGACTCGGGGCCATTTCTTTCCTTTGTTGCCTCATGGTGCGAAATTGTGAGGTGTTATATTTACGCCGCTAGATAATTTCAACTTAATCTTATATTTAATACAGAACATTTAATATATAACTTTAAAAAAATATAAGCAATCAGCAAAAAGACCTGAAATTATTAAAATTTTAAATGGAATTAAAAATCACACACGTGCGAAGATACCTCCTAATTTTTTCTTTGCTCTTTTTGGCTTAATTCTTATATTGTTCTGATTAAGCTCGCTAGAGTACAACAAGTTTTTTTTTTTAAATTAATCTACCACTTAATGAATTTTGGGCTTTGCTAAAATATGAAAAATTACATTCTATTTCGCTGATTCTTTTTTAGTTGTCTTTGTAATACTATAACGAAGATAACTAACAAAGAATAATATATATTATTTTTAATTTTTCAGTCAGCTTCTGAAAAAGTATTATTGTTGCCTCTTCTCGTATTTGTATTTATTATTTTTATTCACATCCGGTATTGCTTCCATTTCGTTATAATATGTTTTTGTCAATCGTTTCACTAATATCTGCATTATTTAATTTAGTTATGTTTACATTTTACTTTTATTCTTTAATGTAGTAAGTAGGCCCCGGCGGTGCGCGTAAATTGTGGCAGCGCACCGCCTGGCAGGGTCGACATGTAATGTCGGAAAAGTGTCAATAAATAAGAGATCTGTTACTTGTTTTAAAGCTTTAATTATATAACTTATTCTTACATTAATATCTACAGTTTACGATAGTAAATATGTACTGTAGATTGCTCTACATGTGCCTTATCACAAAGCACGGTCACGTTCAATTCTATTATAGGTAAAATGGACCCAACTAGATTGTTAGTGCCTACCTGCAGGACAGCTTTATTCCATAAAAATTGTTACACTATGTATATAAAAGTTTTTAATAAGATACCTAAAGTGATTAGAGTTACCAACAATGAGAATGAAAACTCACCAAAAAAAATGGCTCATCTAGCAATCTTTTTACACAATGAAAGACTTCTTTGCACATAAGTAGGCGATACTTTTAAGAGTTTGACACAATGTTTGAAATAATGTTTGTGTTATGGTATTTTTATAAGTTGAAAATTTTATTTATTTTATTAGTAAAGTAAAGTAAAGTAAAGTTACAGCCTATATACGTCCCACTGCTGGGCACAGGCCTCCCCTCATTTCTGAGGAGGTTTTAAGGCAAGGAAGTGTCCGCCGCGCTACCCCAATGCGTGTTGGCGAACTTCACATGTCTTCGAAATATATATATTTTTTCTTATTCCTCAGACATGCATGTTTCCTCACGATGTTTTCCTTCACCGCCGAGCACGTGGTAAATCAGCACTTAAAATTACAATTAACAATTTCATTGGTGCCGGCGGGGATCGAACCCGGGTTACTCGCGTTCTGTTATATTAACAGCGAGCGTTAACCATCTGAGCTACCACGTCTCTTTCGCTTCTTGGCCTTTTGGCAGAGCTGTTGTTCGTTAAAATAAACAAAATTTAAATAAAATATAAATAACAGCAAGATTACGGGATTATATCCGTTTTGATACCCTCCATTGGTGGGAAGTATTTTCAATAAAAAAATCTGTTCTTTTATTAGTAAATTAGATATAAATATTGAAATAAATTAATGACAATTGTGTATGCATAACGATTTCCTTCTTGTCACAACTGATCATCATCTCTCAACATGTTGCATCATTCTACGCATGTATTAATAAGTTTTTTTTTAATTTCTTAGGTTACGAAACGTGTTAGGGGATGACGACAGGGACGTAACTAAACAAGATTTATCTCGGTTAGTGTATTTAGAAGCAGTTTTTAAGGAATCCTTGCGCATATATCCAATAGTTCCAGTGACAGCTAGAAGACTTGATAAAAATGTTAAGCTAAGTAAGTTAAAAAAGTTTTATCTTAAAGATACAAAGATACTAATTGTTTGATGGACTTAACAGCCCGATTAACGTGCTGATTTATTAACCCGGTTAATTCACCGGCCAGGTCATGTAGACAAGGCTGAAGTTTAGTAATTCCCTATTATTTTAGTAGACTGGCAATATCGCAATAAACGTTTTGATTTATTGAAAGTCAATATAGTGTCCCATATCATTCTTTGGGTGTCGTTAGAAGCGGCAGAGGGAAAAATGCGGAGATGGGCATCAGCGTTTATTATAGAAGAGGAGGCAAACAAGCATGCGTCTCACTCAAAGATTCGAACCGCTTTGCGCTAGCTGTGGTTAAGTGAAAGGAGCTGGTACTGGGTGCCTCAACTCAGATATGAGAACACTATTCTATGTGAGGCCGAACTTGCGCTTTATAAAGTTGCAAGCAATGTGCCGGCATGAAATACTGTTTTGCTCTGCTGAGAACGCCAAGCTTTTTAGAGGACAATTTGGCTTTTCCCTTCAAGATTTCCGATGTTAGCTGAGGCAGCAACGGTAACGGCTCGACCGGGGACGGACCATGCTCTCACAAAATACCAGCGTCAAATAGCAGTTTAATGCTGCTGTGTTTCGTATGGTGAGTGTAGAGAACTGGAGACCCTTTTTACTGGAAAACGGGCATTCCATCTTAGTCCTCAAGGCTGACAACGCATCTTCATTTTGATTCGCAAACGAGGATAGATGTAGATGTCTATGGGCCACAGCAACCACTTACCATCAGATGGACTGTGTGCTCACTTGTCACCCTTTTCCTATGAAAAAGGTATTCTTTTTAGCGGTAAACTTGCGACCTTTTGCCATCTGGAGATTGAACTGGACTAAATTTACTCCCCTGATCCGAAACTTTGTGCAAGAAAGACATGACTACAGACACAAGCTTGTCCCGGTACTCGAAAAATATTGGTACGACCGGTGTATAAGGCATCACTAGTTCTGTCGTCTGCATAGAAATCTGTGTTACCAGTTTGCAAAATATCATCGATATGCAGAAGAAACAGCATTGTTGATAGCACGCAGCCTTGTGGAATATCAGCGTTAATAAGCATGTAATCAGAGCATGCATCGACTACAACAAGCTTGATACTATATCTCGGGAAGTCCATAGGTAAGGAGCTTCGAAAGAAGTGCTTTGTGCCATACCCGATCGTAGGCTTTCGGTATGTCCAAACTAACGGCCAATGCCTTCCCTTGGACCCTACTGCCTCTATCCATCTATTAGTCAGGTGAACCAGAAGATCACCAGCTGATTGACAACGACGAAAACCGTATTGGCCATCACTAACCAGCTGGTTATTCTCAAGGTACCTCATGGATTGGAAGTTTATAACGGACTTCATTATTTTGAAGAACGAGGTGATGGCGACAGGCCTGTAGTTGGACGGTTCTGAGCGGTCGTCTTTTTTAGGGATCGAGTGGACCCATCTTTATAATTACGACCAAAAAAAACCCAAAAATAACTGCAAAATCTTGTTTACAACCACCTTTTCAACCATGGCGACTATGGCTTATTTACCCCTTATGAGGCAGTCTATTAGGACAGGCCTATGTTCAGCAGTTCAAGAAGCTGTTACGGTAGTTATAAATATCAATTTATAAGACGGCGTTAACAGCTCATATAATATTTCAAATTTCAATAGTAATTCCACCCATAAAATCCAATCATCCAGGTATTTACTTTATTTACTAGATTTTTAATTTTTATCTTTATATGATATTTATTTGCTATACATATAACATAAACACTCACGCCTGTCACCCAGAGGGGTAGGCAGAGACTACAGACTTCCATTTAGCACGATCCTGACATACCTTTCTCGCCTCTTCCACATCCATATACCTACGCATACATGCTCGTCGGTTAAGGGTACTCTTAATTTGGCCCATTTTTAGTATATCGCCAATTTGGTCGACAAACTTCCACCTAGGACATCCCTTTCCGACTCTTCCATTCACTTCTGCAACATATATTTGCTTTGTCAGTCTTTCCGCATTCATTCTTTCTACATGACCAAACCACCGAAGCATTCCTTTCTTAATCCTGGTCACCGCATCATCTTGCAAACCACACTCTTCTTTTATCACCCAGTTTCTCACCCTGTCACTCAGATTCAGCCCTAACATACTCCTTAGCGACCGCATTTCTACTGCATTTATTCTATTCTCGTGCTTCTTCTGCCACACCCAACTTTCACTACCATACGTTAAAGTAGGGACTAATACAGCACTGTGAATTGCCATACGTGCCTTTTTTGACACATTCTGACTTTTCACAATAGAGTGTAGAGACCCATTTACTTTATTTCCTGCATTCACTCGTCGTTCAATATCCTTATCATATCTCCCATCCCTGCTGAATACACATCCCAAATATACGAACTCATCCACTTGCTCAATTAACTCTCCTTCTATTTTTATTTCACATACCGTTTTGCTTTCATCTCTTTCAAAAACCATCACTTTCGTCTTACTTGCGTTCACTTTCATTTCCCTTTCCTTTAATGACCTGTTCATTAATGTAACCATCATTTTCAACTCGGCCGCCGGCGACGCAAGTATGACTTGGCATTTGATGGTTAACTCATCCATTCTTAACCCGCATTCTTCAACTTTCAAATTTTCCAAACAGCTGTCCATAAATAGGTTGAACAGCCACGGGGAAGCTACACAGCCCTGTCTGACACCTTTATGGATGCCAAACCAGTCCGAGTAGACCCCGTTGATTCTAACACAAGCACTCGAGTCCCTATACAGAGACTTTAATGCCTCTATCAAACAATCGCTCAACCTAAATGCGTTCAGCGTTTGCCTTAACACATCCCTGTCCACTCTGTCATAAGCCTTTTCCAAATCCATGAACGCACAAAAAACTTTTTGGTTTTTCGCCAAAAAACTTCTCCGCGATCATGCGCATGGAAAAGACTTGATCTGTACACCCCATTCCCTTTCTAAATCCCGCTTGCACATCCCAAATTTTTTCATCAGTTTCTTTTATAACTCTTTCAATTAGTACCTTAGCATACAGTTTTCCCACAATGCTAAGAAGGCTGATACCACGGTAGTTTTTACAGTCCTGCTGTGACCCTTTTCCCTTATATATTGGGACTATCACGGCTTTGCACCAGTCTCCCGGTACCCACTTTAGTTCCTAACATAAATTAAACAAGGTGTACAGCAGGCCTGCCACCACGTCCTCTCCAGCCCTTAGCATTTCGGGTGAAACTCTATCATATCCGGCTGCCTTACCTACTTTCATGCTTTTCATTGCTTTCATTATTTCATCTATACGTATCTCCCTATCTCTTTCATCTTCTTTCGGAATTTCTATTTCATTTAGTTCACACTTCTCCTCACTCATAAATTCGCTTTCAAAATATTCCTTCCATCTCTTTAGACTCAACACTTTATCATTCAGGATACAGCCATTCTCGTCTCGTATCGCTTTCATCTAGGCTGTTTTGAAAGTCCCCTGGTATTTCTTACGAGTTTCCAGAACATTTTAATATTTGCCTGGAAGTTATCCGATATTCTTCTATCATTCCTATCCGTTCTTTCTTGCTTTTTCCTTTCAACTAATTCTTTTACTCTCTTATTTAAACCTTTAAACTCAGCCTTTTTTCTTTCATTCTCATCATTCTTACCGCCAGAATTACCAGCTTTGGTCGCTAGTAAATCTAGCCATGCTCTCTTCTTTGCTTCAACTTCCATACGTACCTCATCATCCCACCATAACGTATTGTCTTTCCTTTCATTCGTTCTCTTACTAACACCACATACTTCGGTAGCTGCATCCACTAAACCTTTCTTATTTGATATATTTATATGATATTGTTTTACGAATAGAAAACACTGAAAAAGTAATTTTTTTTCCAGAGAATTATACACTTACTGCTGGGCGGACATGTTTTATTTTTATTTATGGTATTCACCGTCACCCAATGTGGGGTGATGATGCTGAAGAGTTCAAACCAGAAAGGTGGCTAGATAAAACGACTTTACCTTCGTGCCCTACTGCTTTTGCTGCTTTTAGCATAGGAAGGAGGGTTTGTATCGGTGTGTAAAATATTCTGTTACATCCTCATTGTTAATATTGCAAATAAATAAGAAGATGAAAATAAGAAACACTTTGCGCACGGAAACTATCACCGTCCATACGTGTCTACAAAATAAATATTGTCAGACCGAATTTTGGTTAAAGTGACCAGGCTCAACGGAGACTAGCCATCTGCGTGGGACAGGATTATATTACATGAGTGTGTGCGCAAGGATAGGTGCGCTCTTTATTTCCTTACTCTCAAAGTTTGATGATACGGTGGTCCGGCACGAACAAAGAGAGAATACGTGACTGAAGGCAAACGGCTTTACGTGATTTCTAAGGCATGGTGGTGAAATTCTAACTTCCTTACTCCAGACTGCTACTGAGAATTTCTTGAGAAAAAAATATAATAATAACTGATTTTGGCTCGACCCGGGATTCAAACCCAGGATTTCAAGATTAGCAGTCTTGCTCGCTACTACTACACCAACAAGGAAGTTTCGTAGACTAATGTATATTGTTATTGATTCCCAGTAGCTACGGAAATGGTTTCCCTTCACACTAGTGATTCAAAATTTTTATTGTTTTCTCGGTTTAGAAAGTGTGTTATATTTTTTTAATTTTCGATCATCATCATCATCATCGTCATTGACATCCTCTTCATCATCATTACAGCACTTCTTAAGTCCGCTGTTGTGCATAGACCTTCCTTCAGAGAATGCCACAAATAACGATACTGAGCCACCTGCATCCATCGAATTCCTACATGTCTTACCAGGTCCTCATTTCATCCAATAGTGTCGAATAAAACTTGCTCTAGAATCGTTACTGAAACTTGCTTGTGGCTCAAACGATGACGTCTGTAGCTGCCTATAGAACCTCTCAATATCACTCGAAATTTCTGGTGTTCCAAAAACGACGCTGCCATATTCGGTCTTCAGCTTCGTTAGTTAGCTCTTTCGGAAAAATTGGATCTTTGGCAAAGACTTTAAGCCTTGGTTTCGCTTGGTCGCTTCATCAATACTAAGTGTATTAAATCTGCGTAAGTCTCGCCACATGCAGTTAGAAAACTATTTGTTCAGTTGCCTGTTTGCTGTCAAAACGCTGAAATGTGCAGCTTTATTCCCCGTCTAACAACCACGAGATTAGGAGTGTGATCGGAGAGTTTTTGTGTCAGGGATGCAGACTTTTGAAAGAAACTGAGCTAAATTGATTCGTCAGAAATGCAGTTTTCCGAATTGAAAGAAACTGAGCCAAATAAAAGATCCGTCAGAGATGCAGCCTTTTGAGTTGAAAGGAAACTGAGCTTCATAGGTCCGTCAGAGGTGCAGCATTTGGAATTGAAAAGAAATTGAGCTAAATAGGAAATTTTAAATTGAAAGGGAAGCCACAGATCTTCCCTTTCATTATATATTCTGATTAATTGATTGTGGGAATTTTGAAAAAAAAAAACTAACTGAAAACTATTTTAAGACGCTACTGTACACAATGTTAAATGTTTTTCCATTCGGGGAAAGAATGTGGAGATTCTGGATATTTGACTCACGCGAACATGCTACATGCAGCTGACCATGAGAGAAGCACGGTTTTTCTAAGTTGACCCACGCTATCTGTAACGTTTGCCCTTGCGCTTTATTAATTGTCATTGTAAAACTGAGCTTAATAGGGAACTGCATCCTTAAGAATTGAAAAGGAAGATCTGTGGGAATTATAGAGATCCGTGGTATAATAACATTTTCACCTTTTCCTACGCCTGTCAAAATTGTAGCACCGATTATGTTCCGTCCAAGATGTGTCACACGCAGCCTTGTCCCGTTACATAACCGAGGAGCATCTAAATTTCGCATTAGCATGACTGGGACGCCTAATTTTAATTGAGGCTTATGTGAGACACACCACCTGATAAATATAGAGAATTTAGAAACTCTACGGGATATGAAGTGCTCTGTTCTATGTCCATAACTGTGTCTACTGACAAATACTCTGTTGTTTCTCCTGCTACTTCGTTTAATATATCTGAATTTATTTTGTTAACGCTCTCATTTTTTGGGTGCAAGAATCGCCCTTTCACATAACCATTTGTTTTCATGCATGTTGTTCGTTAAATCTGAATAAACGCTCGCAATTAATTCGGAATGACTCTATACTAAATTGCAAAAATCTCTCGTCAATTTAACGCAGCCCTCAGCATCCGTTTCCAACCGCCCATCGCCAATTTTAAATAGTGTGTCAGCATAATTTCCAGCATTGATATCATTATATAAATGCACTCTCATATTCGTAGTTGTAATCTGAATTTTGTCACCTTTATCCATAAAATAGACGACTTGAGGCATGCTTTAATTTCATCTGCAGGTGTGCCCTTTTGAATGACAGTTAAAGCTTGGCGAAAGTCACCAGCCAGTAAAACTACCATTCCTCCTATTACATCGGTATTGCTGCGCAAATCCTGGAGCGTTCGATTTAGTGCTTCTACAGCTTTTTTATGCGACATTGTACTTTCGACCCACATTAAAAGTTTGAATTGTCGTGGCATTATATCTCGTGTACTATTTTTGCTAAAGTTGCAGATCGGCGATTCTTTATGGGCTAGATTTGAAGGGAGTTTTAAAACAGAAAGTACTGTGCGGCCCCCGATTAACAGCCTGGCGGCTATACCGGAGGAAGCTACGGCCACAGCAATGTTTTTATCTTTCCGTACTTGCGCTAATAATAACATAACAAAAATGACTTCCCTGGAGGAATCCAGGGGCATCTAAAAAGAAAAATGCACCATTTCCAGATTCAATTTGTCCTAATACTTTGTCAAAAACTCGTTTTTGTTCGGGAAGCAAGCGGGGTACAAATTCGGCTACTTGCTGCTGCAAAGCTGGTATATCGTAGTTTGTTTCACGTATAATTTCATCACTTAGTTCATTTTCGGTTGTTCGCTGAGGGCTTATCATTCCAAAGTCGCTTAATTTTTTGCCTACCATTGCCATTACTTTATCTTCAATTTTTCCAAGTGCTTCATTATAAATGTGCTCATTGTATGTCATGTTCGCGTGTGTCAGCTGTAACCTTCGCAAAATATCTTCCGCCATGTACTCTTTATATTTGTCTCACAATTCATGTGCATTAGATAGCCCGCAAGATGATATGAGAGTTGCATAAAGATCCCTAATTTTGGCTGGCACAGCTTCAGCCATGGTTTCATCCCAGTGATTATCGTTTTCTAAAAGATGTAGAGCTTCACATAATTTTTCTATAATGCCGACGCCATGCCATGCCGACGCTCTGTTGCGACGTGAAAGAAGGACAAACAAACATACAAACACAATTTCGCATTTATAATACTATTATAATATTATAATTATAATATGTAACGTTACTATATATAACCATCATCATAATCATTATTACAGCCCTTCCCAAGTCCACTATTGAACATAGGCCTCCCCCAAGGTATGCCACAAAGCACGGTCCTGAACCACCTGCATCCATCGACTTCCTGCATATATTACCAGGTCGTCACTCCATTTAGTAGGAGGTCCCCTACACTTCACCTACCGGTACGAAGCTGCCACTCGAGAACCTTATTCCCCCAACAGTTGTCGGTTCTTCGAGCTATACGACCGGACTATTGCCACTTCAGCTTACTTATTCGTTGGGTTATGTCGGTCATTCTGGTTCTACTGCGTATATCCTCATTTGTAAGTTTATCACGCAGAGAAATCCAGAACATAGTCCTCTCCATAGCTCGCTGAGTGACTTTGAGCGTCCTCATATGGCCAGCAGTGAAGAAGCACGTCTCAGATCCATATTTCATCACTGGCAACACGCACTGGTTGTACAATCTTGTTTTCAGGTTTTGAGGTATACCTGACGAGAAGATGTAACGTAATTTACCGAACGCTGCCCAGCCGAGTTGAATCCGTCGATTGACCTCTCGGTCGAAGTTGGACTTACCTAGTCGGACAATTTGTCCCAGGTAAACGTACTCATCAACAACTTCGAGCTTAGTGCTCCTAACAACTACCGGCATAGGTGTGACATAGACATTAAATATGATCTTTGTTTTGTCCATGTTCATCTTAAGACCTATCCGTTGGGAGGCACTATTGAGGTCATTAAGCATAGTGCTTAAGTCCTCCAGCGGTCTTCTGTACAATCTGCCGCAGCGTATGTATGTGATCTATGGTACTAAAGCCTTTTCGGAAACCGGCTTGTTGCGGAGGTTGGAAATCATCAAGTCTGCGTGTGAGCCGATTCGTAATGACTGTCGAAAACAGCACAAGACCACTGCGCTTCTGCTCCACGCCTCCGCATTAGTGCCACCATGGAGGACGGAATTGAAGAGCTTCTGAAGGACTTCAAGTACCGGTGTTCCACCCGCTTTCAGAAGCTCCGCTGTAATTCCATCCTCGCCCGGGGCCTTGCCATTTTTAAGGTGGCGGAGAGCCATTCTAATCTCGCTCAGACTGACGTCTGTGAATAGTGTCGGATAAGACTTGCTCTTGGATCGTTACTCACACTTGCGTGTGGCTCCAACGATGATGTGTACAGCTGCCCATAGAACCTCTCAATCTCACTCAGAATCTCAGGTTTCCCGGAAACGATGTTGCCACACTCAGTCTTCAGCTTTGACAGTTGGCTCTTTCTGGCAGACAGATCTCTGGCAAAGACTTTGGAGCCCTGGTTCCGCTCAATTGCTTCTTTAATACGATCTGTATTGAAGTTGCTTAAGTCCTGCCGCATACATTTGGAGATCTGTCTGTTTAGTAGCCTGTATGCTGACAATTCTGCTGACGACTGCAGCTTCATCTCTTGTCTAATATCCATGAGATTAAGAGTGTTATCGGAGAGTTTTTGTGTTCTTCTGCGGCGGGTCTTGTAGAACTTAGCTCCGACCGCGTGGACAGTTTCCACGAGCTCGTCATTCATTTAATTATATATAATATATTCATAATACATTTCATTAATATTTCATCATATATAATATATTATATTTCATTAATTATATATCACAGTATATGTAAATACAAT